CACTTTCTTTTCTTAGCCTTGAGTGTAGGTTTTTTTTCTTCTTAGTCTTGGGTATATATATATTTTCTTTTTTTTTGTGACAAAGTTTGACCCTTTTGGAGCTGGTGCTTGCATTATACCTCATTGCTCTATCCTCTACTTTGTTGACCTTTCAACTTTTCTTTTTGTGTAACTTTTAGTAGGGGAATGAAAAATCCAGTTGCCTACAATACATTGTTGAAATATACTATGAAGTACGAAAACTTACTCAAAATTTTATCTCAAAACAAGTTGTAGTGTAGATTTAAAGTTAGTGAGATGTGGATCACACTTAAAGTGATTGTGACCCAGAGAAGTGTTTTTCTAGATAACTTTTCTAAATTTGTAGTACTGTCAATACATTGTTTACTTCTTGTTATTACTCTATTCTTTGTTCTAATTCTACTTTTTAGTTGCTGTCACTTTCTGTATCAAGAATTAGCCTCTCTTTTTATTTTTTCTGCCATTTTTTCTTTTTTCGATTTTTGGTTTTTTTGATATGATTGTTCTACATGTACAAAATTTGTATACAACCCTTGCACATAGGATAGAATCTACACATTTTAATGAGTCTCACCGCATGTGAGAAGGTTTGTGTGCACTTAGAATTTTTATGTATAGCCTATAAGCAATTTGTTTAGTGTTGATGCTAATTATTAGCAGGATTTGCCTTCCCTAGTTTTTAATTAAGATTTTCTTCAAAAAGTTTGTGATCTCAGTTTGTGACAATCCTTATAAAGCCCACTGTTTCTGTTTTATTTTTATTTTTTATGTGGAAAATTTAAATCTATTGGAAGTGGTGCTTGGATTGTACTTCATTACCCTCGGCTCTAATTAAGAAAAAAGAAAAGAAAGATGTCAGTTGCCTGCATTTACTTTTGCTAGTTAACTTTACTGTGCTAATTACACTTTATAGCTCCTTTGACTCCTAGCATCAAATGTTAGCCTCTCTTTTTCTTTATTATGCCTATCTGACACTCAAGTGGTTGTCATTACGAGGCCTATCACCTCCTAGATGAAATGTGTTAAAGTTTGTTATGCATTTATACATACTCGATTTTATTTCAGCATTTTGATTTCTTAAGTTTCCTTTGCAATAAAAAATCCAATTTTGAAAATTTTGAACATATATAACAAGACCATATGTCGCAGTGGTTCAACGACAATACTCAATTTTTTTGTCTTTAGAAAGAAATTAACTTAAAAGCATCGATGTATTTTTTTAAAAAAAAATGTTGAATGAAGGCAACAATCAACTGTACTATATAATACAGAAAAGTGTACGTACACAGAAAATTTGTACAAAAAAAAAAAAAAAAGAGAGAGAGAGAGAGTGAGAGAGACAAGAGCGTGGCCCCGTTAAACTCACAGTAACATAGAGATCAAAAGTCTTAGTTTATTCATTGCACTGATGTTGTTTAAATAGAAATTTACACAACTGAATATCCTCAAAATAAGGAACTGACTCAACATGAAAGAAGGAACTAACTTAAATTCTACAAAGTCTACAGCAGACTTATTCAGTTCCTAAAGAAGTGGTCAATGCCAAAAAAACAAGACAAGACTCAACTAAATTCTTAACACCACCCCTTAAACTGAGTGTACTGCAAACATTCAGTTTAGTGGGTTATTTCACATCAGAATTAACTACAGAACACACTCCAAGTAGATGTCGTAGCTTCAAGAAAGCAGGTAATTTGAGGGGTTTAGTCAGAATATCTGCGAGCTGATCCTCACTTCTACAATGCTTCAGATCTAGAGTTTCATCCTTGACTAGATCACGTAAGAAGTGATATCGTACATCGATATGCTTGCTTCTGCTATGGAGAACAAGATTCTTTGAAAGCTTGATTGTTGAACTGTTATCGCAGTAAATGAGAGTGGAACCATTGTGAGGATGCTGTGTTTCAAGTAACCTTCTCAACCAGATAGCTTGACAGGCACACGAAGCTGGAGCAACAAACCCTGCTTCAGTGGTGGACAAAGTGACAATAGGTTGTTTTCTTGATGACCATGAGATCACACCTGAGCCCATCATAAAAATGTAACCGGATGTACTTTTCCTATCATTGGAATCACCAGCATAATCGCTATCAGTGAAACCAATTAGACCAGATTGTTCTCCTATCTTGTACAATATGCCAAAATCAGTTGTTCCCTTCAAGTATCGGAAAATTCTCTTGGCAGCGAGAAGATGCAACTCCGTAGGGTGTTCCATGTATCGACTGATCAGACTAACTCCATGCATTATATCAGGCTTGGTTGTTGTCAAGTACATTAAACTTCCAACCATTTGCTTGTATAGAATGTTATCAATCTTCTTTCCTTCAGGATCTTTGGTTAGCTTCAAACCAAGATCAATTGGTGTACCAACTGAGTTGCAATGTTGCAGCTGAAACTTGGCCAAAATGTCTTGAGCATATTTTCGCTACGAGAGAAAAATAGCATTAGAAGATTGAATTACTTCTATGCCAAGGAAGTAGTGTAGCATGCCAAGATCAGTCATTGCAAATTCTTTCATCATCGAGGACTTGAATGCATCAAACATGGCACTATCATTTCCAGTGTAGATCAAATCATCCACATATAAGCATACAATAAGTAACTTGCCATCAGAGTCTGATTTTATGAATAAAGTAGGCTCATATGGGCACTTTTGAAAGCCTGACTTTAAGAAATATGCTTCTGTACGACTATACCAAGCTCGGGGAGCTTGTTTCAATCCATATAGAGCCTTTCTTAACTTATACACCTTAGTCTCATTCCCTTGACATACATAACCTGGAGGTTGATCAACGTATACCTCTTCTTGCAAATCTCCATGGAGAAATGCTTATTTAACATCCAATTGAAATATAGGCCATGAGTTTTGTGCTGCTAATGCAATTACCAATCTGATGGTATCATGCCTTGCAACTGGAGCAAAAACTTCGTTGTAGTCGATTCCAAGCTGTTGTTTATATCCTTTAGCGACCAAACGAGCTTTGTATTTTTCAATTTTGCTTTGTGGATTCAGCTTTGTTTTATACACCCACTTAACACCGATCGACTTGTGGCCTTTGGGAAGATTAGTTAATTCCCAAGTATTAATTTTCTCAATGGCATGAATTTCCTCATCCATAGCTTGCTGCCATTTTGGATCTTGAACCGCATCATTAAATGTTACTGGATCACAATCTGAAAGTAAAGCAAAATGGGTAATGGGATCGTCAAATTGATCAATTCCAGTTACCTCATAATCTCGCATCCAGGCTGGTCGACTCTTCATGCGTTGAGGCCGTGTCTGTTTTGAAATTTCAGATTGGTCTTCTCTAGATGAAGTGCTCGGTAGATGCGAAGAAGAAACTTGTGGCTGTTCGGAAGAAACTTGTGACTATTCCTTGTCTTCAAAATGGACATGAATGGACTGCCCTGAAATAGTAGGAGTCCATGGCCATGTCTTATCTTCATCAAACACCACATCACGGCTAATGACGATTGTCTCAGTGATCGGATTGTACAATTTATAGGCTTTGGATTGTTCGCTAATCCCGAGAAAAATACCCTTTACACCTTTATCATCGAGCTTCTTCCGCTTTTCATCTGGAACATGTGCATATGCTATGCACCCAAAAATTCGCAAGTGAGCAACACTAGGCTGTCTTCTGCTCCATGCTTCTTCGGGCGTCATATTTCTGACAGCTATTGTTGGACTTCTGTTTAAGAGATGAATACTCCACAAGATTGCTTCAGGCCAGAAACGTTTCGGAAGACCAGATGTGCTTAACATGCTCCGTACCATGTTTAAGATGGTACAATTTTTCCGCTCAGCCACACCATTTTGCTGCGGGGTGTAGGAAGCTGTAAGCTGTCTTTTGATTCCATGCATCTCACAAAAATTTGCAAATTCCCGTGAGTTAAATTCCCCACCACGATCGATTCGAAGAGTTTGGATAGCTTTCCCAACTTCTTTCTCAACAAGGGCCATATAATTTTTGAATGCTCAAAAGGCTTCAGATTTTTCCTGCAAGAAATAGACCCATGTTTTCCGACTAAAGTCGTCGATAAAGGTAATAAAATACCTGTTATTACCATTGGATGGTGGATTTATAGGCCCACAGATATCAGAATGGACCAACTCCAACACTTTCTTGGCTCTCCATGCTCTCCCTTTTGGAAATGCATTACGATGTTGTTTGCCAACAACACAGCCTTCACATACTTGGGAAACATGATCAATCTGCGGAAGACCAGACACCATATTTTTCTGATGAAGAATCTTCAGACCATTGAAGTTCAAATGGCCATAACGAAGATGCCATAACCATGCTTGATCATTCACCATAGCAGCAAAACAAGGAAGGGTATCATTACAAAGATATAAAGGAAACATCCGATTTCGAGTCATATTAACTTGAACAATCAAACCCTTTTCCGGATGTTGGATTTGGCAAGTTCCCCTTTTGATAATAATCTCATAATCCTTTTCTTGAAGTTATCCCACACTTAACAGATTGTTCTTCAAACCAGGAACATAAAACACATTTGAAAGAGAATGTTTTGAATTTTGGAAGCTAATTTTTCCCTTTCCCATAACAGATAATCTAGAATCATCACCAAATTTTACAGAGCTATTAAAAGATTCATCCAACTCAGAGAACATGGACTTGTCTCCGCACATATGGTTACTTGATCCAGTGTCCAAGTACCACATGTTTGGAAGAGTTTCTTCCATGGTGTTGCAAGCCATAAGAAGAGTAATATCATCTTCTTTTTCTGCAAAATTTGATGTTCCTCCCGTTCTCGTTAGGTAATTTTGTATGGCATTTAGAACGAAAATGACCATACCTGTGGCATCTGAAGCACTCAACATTTGATTTGTCGAAGGACTTTGATTCTTGGGCTTTAGCATAATCAGCGCTGCGTCTGTGGCCTTTTCCTTTGAATTCAAAAGCTTGATCATCTGTTCTGCCTTTTCCTCGTCTTTGACCTCGGCCTCGGCCTCAACCTCTTGCTGCTGAAGATTCATCATTTGTTGAGACCTTCAAGGCTTGCTCCTCAGTGATCCTTTGGTGGAGTTTTTGTTTATGGACCTGCAACGAACTCTGCAACTCATCAACCGATAGTTCATCAATGTCCTTGGACTCCTCAATGGAACAGACTATGTAATCAAATTTCGTAGTCAAGGAGCGAAGAATCTTTTCCACGATGGTAACATCTTGCATCGGGTCACCATGGATCCGCATCTTATTTGTAATCGTCATTGTTCTTGAAAAATAATCTGAAACACTCTCACCAGATTTCATTTGAAAGGTCTCGAATTCTCGGCGAAGTGCTTGGAGTTGGGAGCGCTTGACCTTCGATGTGCCTTGATATTTCTTCTTCAGTGAGTCCCAGATCTGCTTGGAAGTTTCTTTCTGGAGAATGGTCTCAAGAATTGTACGATCAATGGCCTGAAATAAGTAATTTTTTACCTTGAGATCCTTCAGCCTCTGTTCATCGAGTCTCTTCTGTTGTGCTTCTGACTCCACTTGCCGGTTCTACAATACCGGTTGCCACGAGAGTCCAATATTCTTTGGATCTTAGAAAATTCTCCATCAACATGCTCCAGTGATCATAATGACCATCGAAGCGAGGAATAGCCGGCTGGACATAGTTATCGATTACCTTGTCAGCCATGAATGATTGCTACTGCAAGTAAGAAGACTACTGCTTCTGTGAAGAATTTCTTGGAAGCTCTGATACCACAATGTTAAACTCACAGTAACATAGAGATCAAAAGTCTTAGTTTATTCATTGCACTGATGTTGTTTAAATAGAAATTTACACAACTGAATATCCTCAAAATAAGGAACTGACTCAACATGAAAGAAGGAACTAACTTAAATTCTACCAAGTCTACAGCAGACTTATTCAGTTCCTAAAGAAGTGGTCAATGCCAGAAAAACAGGACAAGACTCAACTAAATTTTTAATAGGCCCATCTTTAAAGTGACACATTAATTCAAGAATAATTCTACATCAGAATTTTGCAGCGCATTTTCATACCTATAAGTAGTTTGTCACGACTTTCCTTGTGAACATAAACATAGGAAAGCCTAACCAAAAAATCAACTCTGTCTTCAAGTACCACTTGAGTGTCTGTCTGTCTACCATTAGTTTCTTCTAGCAGAGTGAGATGCATACCAAATGAATGATGGATCACCTTAAACCAAAAGATCCATGAATGGCTTGCTATTTTCTACTGAATATTATGATCATCCTGTCCTCTTCTCTCTTTCCTGTTTGTGCTAGTGAAGACATTTTGAGAGCAGGCGAATCAATCAACACTAACTGAACCTTAACTTCAGCTAGTGGAAATTTTGCGTTAGGCTTCTTCAGTCCAGGCAATTCTACCAACAGATACATTGGCATATGGTACAAAACAATCTCCAAACAAACAGTCATATGGGTTGCTAATAGAGAAAACCTTCTTGCCCAGAATTCTACAGCGGTTTTCAGGCTCGGTGATGATGGGAATCTTGTGATTTTTTATGGAAGAGGACAAGTAGTCTGGTTAACAAATGCAACAATTCTCATTTTGGCCGTAAACTCCACAGTTGCACAGCTTTCAGATAATGGAAATCTCGTTCTGAGACTTGGTGACGACACTTTATTATGACAGAGTTTTAATTGATAATCCAGCTGATACATTCATGCCTGGCATGAAACTCAGGTTGAATCGGAAAACTAGACAGCGAAGCCTTATATACTCATAGGTAGATAATTAAGATCCTCGACCAAGAATGTTTTCAGTAGGTATAGATCCTGAAGGGCATCCACAAATATTCATTTGGAAGCAAAACCATTTATATTGAAGAAGCACAGTACATGACTAGTTTTTCTTATATAGGATACAAATCTCAAGGTTTTACCTCTTTTTTTTACTTTCGTAGTAGAAGGTGATGAAATTTATCTCAGTTGTAGTGTCCCTGAAAAATAAGAGCCATGCTAACTCCTAGTGGGCAAGCTCAGGTCCTTTTATGGGAACAAAGTGACAATTCATGGGTAGTTGCATGGAAGTTGCCAGTAGTTGAGTCCAAATGTGATTTTTATGGCTAGTATGCTCCATTTAGTAGCTGTGAACAAAATGGTTTGCATCCATTTTACAGTTGTTTGCAGGGTTTTGAACCTAACGATTAGAATTCTTTGAATCTTGCAAATTGGACAGGCAACGATGATTCATCCCACTAATTTGGGAGTACTAATTGACCACTAATGAGGTAGAAATTCAAAAATAAAAAATTTTAAAAAAAAACACAAGAGCAAACCATCCCATCATGTGGGACCCACACCACTTTAGAGCTATTAGTGCTCCTCTTTTTAGTGGTCTCACTCATTTTTCTTGGACAGGAGGCTGTGCCAGGAAAATGGCACTGACATGTAATCTGGGAGATTGGTTTTTTAAGTTTGAAAGGACAAAATTGCCCGAATATTCAATCTCTTGGAAATATGACCGTTAGTCAATGTGAATCCAAATGTCGTGACAATCCTGCACGGCTTATGCGTATGCTAATATGAGTGGAGGAACTACTGTGCATTGTATGAATTGGTTCGGGATCTTGTGGACCTAAAAGGCAATGGCTACCATGGCAAAGACCTTTATGTTTGCCTTTGAAAAATTTAGAAATTCGCTAGATATTGATTTGTGATTATGTATCAATTTAAAGCAATAAAACAATCTCAATCAAATAATCAAGACAAATCGACACAACGATTTTAACATGGAAAAATCACAATTGGAGCACCTCCAATTGTGAAAAAAAACCACGGGCAACAGTCACAAAATAATCCACTAAGAAGATATAAAGGAATTACACAGGTATATTCTCAATTACCTAACGAATCCACGCCCGAATTGAACCAACCCCTATATGCCCGTTCCAACCCCGTCTTCACCTCGGAATTGTCTTGACGATGAGCCACTCCAGAATCTACCAAAGCTTCAGGCTTGAATTCTTCAGAATCCATCGAAGAACAACTCTCTCTTTTAGTTTGAACAAACAAATAATCCTTTGATGTATACTCTTTAAACCATGAGTTGAATACTCAATCAAAACATCAAAGAAAACCAGCAAAATATCCCTAGATATAAACCTTAATATCCGAAAAGAAGATCTGAAGAAGCAATCCTAGTTTTGGATTAAAACAAATACTTATAGAAATCTGGGACTGCGAAGCTCGCTCGAGCGAAGACTCTCTCGCTCGAGCGAGGAACTAATCTCGTGTGTTTTTCCAGAAGTGGCTTCGCTCGAGCCAAACAACCTACACTGGAGCGTAAAATCTTCTCTTTCAGGTTTTTATGCAGACGCAGCCTTCGCTCGAGCGAGCAAGGGCGAACATGCAATTTCGAATGCAATTTTGCATTTTGCTTCGAGGGCGCTGCCCCTCGACCCCACCGGGGCACTACCCCCTGGACCCCCGCGAGCTGACCGGGCAGCTCGATCCCCGTCATAATTAGTGAAGTGGCAATCTTGAAAGAATTAACATCACAAACTTCTCTGTACGGCGCAATTCGGGTTGGATTCGCATCTAACAAACTCATAGCCTCATTGAAATAAAAGTGCGAAAATAAGTACAACTGAAAAAAGTTTTGTCAAACGGGATTGCCAAGAATAAAAACCTAACAATCTCCCCCTTTGGCAATGCCGTGACAAAACACACCTAACAAATAAAATCCTAATCACCCCAACCCATTACAGCCAACAAACGCAAACTGCTTTCTCAAGTTCATGAGCTGCAAAACAACTATTAGTGTCACAATCTCCAAAACAACTATTAGTGCCACAAGAGCATATGAAAAACCAATAAACATATGACAAGATTATCTTGAAGCATGAGATGGAAAACATGAATCGATGCGACTTGATTATCTTGAAGCATGAGATGGAAAACATGAATCGATGCGACTTGATTATCTTGAAGCATGAGATGGAAAACACGAATAAATGCGACTTGAAGATAATAAGAACATGTAGCATGAATAGATGAAAACTAAGACACATGCACCGACACAACATAACTCCCATTTTTTGTTACGAATTGACAAAGGAAGCTCAAACAACTAAAGTATGCAAGAAGGAAATAATCAAAGAGTTCATGCTAACAAACTCTTACAATGATAAACCAAACTCCCTCGCACTAAAAGCACCCACAAATACTGAAAACAGTGAACAAGAAGAAAATGACAAAAATAATATGGTGGGGCAAGCAAGAAATCTCAGATTTATACCTTAGAACACACAAGAATATCCAAGAAGCATAATTACTTGAAAACAATGTGCACAGCCTCTAGAAAATTCCTCATAAAAGAAAGTGATGCATTATGTGAAAAGTATAGATCCCATGATAAAAGTGTGTGTGTGACTCTTAGAGTTCGACAAACACTAGATTTAAATCCTAGTAGTGATATGAAAGCTAGACCTCCGACAAAAGAATCTAAGCACAACTACGGAAAGTCAAACCACTAGGAATCAAGGAGTATTTGGTGAGTAAAGGCGGAGGCTCCCTCTCAATCAATGAATCTCTTTTTTTTTTTTTTTGCACATTTTTTTCTTTTCTTTCTTTTGCATGGTTTTTTCTTTTTATTTTTCTTATTCTTTTGCACACTTATTGGCAGCTGACATGCTCAAGAGTATAGAAACCGAACCAGAGAAGCATGGATATAATAAGGATGGCCTGGTTGATGACTTTGAGGTAGCCTTTTTCTCCTGCCTGGACTACAAAGAACAGAGGGGAAAGCCGTGGGGATGCAAAAAGATGGAAGGTGGTTTAAGAGACTCAACATCACCCATGATATGCTAGTATAGGTCAATTCCTCTAGAAAAGCAAAAGATACAATGCCAGAAGTCCATAGAGAAAAAAGATCACTAAGGCAGAAGACTCCAATATTTGCTTATCCAAGAGTGTGTACAGAATGAGACATACTAATCAAAGAACACACACACTCCAAAATAAGTAATGATCATAGAAAGCACACACATATTAACATGTAATAGATATTCTCATCAATTCCAATGTGCACCAAGGACTTCTAAAAAATTTTAAGCTTGCAAAACCATACTAAGAAAATCTTTTTATTTTTTTTATTATTATTTTTTCTTTAATCAAGACAAAAAATGAACATGCACACATTAAGTGGCTCAAAAAGAAAAAAAAAAATACACAGAAGCCTAAAAACTAAAAAGAATATGCAAATTAACACAAGTCAAGTTTTCGCACCCAAATCACTTTAGTATGAAGAAAGTTGTGAGAATTGCGGTTTTTGGATGGTGTCTTGACGTTGTGGTTCCCTTTGTTTTCAATGGGAACCCATCTCCACTTGGTTTCCAACTTCCTATTTCTAGGTCTAGGCAAATACAAACACGCTCCATGTTTGGTCTCAAGCTGATCAAAATAATGAGGTCTAAAATGGCCTTTAACCTCATTACTACCAATGAAGTGTCTCCTACCCCACGAGATGTTGGAATTTCTTCCATCTCTATGAGATACTTTCCCATGCAACTTATAACAATAAGGGCGAATATGACTATGCATACCACAATGATGACAAATAAATACAGGGTGTACCTTTTTTTCTTTTACCTTACCAACTCTAGGAAGTTTGAAAAGCCCATCCTTATGTTGAATTTTTTGTTTTCCCTTTCCTTGAGTTCTTGTATCATGAGATATAGATGCACTCTGTTTTTTCTCTTTGTTATCACCAAAGCCAATGCCACGCTTGTCACAACACATTTGTTGAGACCCAATGATATCCTCCAAAGTCTTTGATCCTTTGTTCCAAAGACCAATGGTAGCCATAGCACACTTGAGCTCTTCCTCTTTCTTGATCATTAGTTCTTCCAAGGCAACTTGAGACATCTCGAGAGATTCAATCTTTTCTTCATACATTGCATAGATATGCTGTAGCTCATTCCTCTCTGTCTCACAAGTCAAGAGTTTTGCACAAAGAGCTTGTTGATCATTAGCTATCTTGATGGCATCAATCTTAGCCTCGGAAATCTCCTTCTTTAGTTTGACATTCTCACTTTCACATGCTTTGAGTTTTATAGTGAGTTTGTCATTCAATTTGGATAAGTTAAGAGATTCCTTATACAACTTTTCATAAGCTTGCTCAATCTCTTCATCATCACTTCCCGAGGATTCATCATCAGTGGCATTCTCAACCAGCCTCTTCGGATTCTCTGTTCGTCCTTCAGTTTCGGAAGTCGCTATGAAAGTAAGGAATTGTTTATGTCCCTTTTCGCCTTGATCTTCGTTGTCACTTTCATTTTCATTAGATTCTAATTCATCATCCCAAGTGATAGCGAGGGTTATCTTCTTCTTCAAATGAGTGGGGCATTTTGAAGCAAAGTGGCCAAATCCTTGGCATTCATAGCATTGGACTCTTTCAAAGTTCCCTTGTATCTTTCCTTTCTCCTTCTTGGCTATAGAATTAATTTTGAGTTTATCTTTGCCTTTAGATTTATGAGTATGAGTAGATTCCAAAAGATTAGGATTCTTTTTCAAAAAAGATTTTTTAAATTGTTTAACAAAAACAGTCGTAATCTTGGAATCTATCTCACAATCCTTATTAGAACCCTTTCCAACTCTATGAACACTACTAAAAGCAATAGCATCTTTTTGTTTCTTTTTGAAATTCCTATGTGCCTCATAAGCTTGGAGATTTCCAACTAAGTGATCCAGCTTGAGGTTGTCAACATCTTAAGCCTCCTCAATAGTCGTAACTTTTGGTTGGAACCGATCGGGCAAGGATCTCAAAATTTTTCCACAACTTTGGATTCTGGTATTTTTTCACCTAAATTGAAGCTGGAATTTACAATGTCACTCAACTTCGCATAAAATTCATCAAAGGTCTCACTATCTTTCATTGAAAGGTTTTTGAAACTAGATGTGAGCCTTTCAAGTTTTGAGCGTTTCACAGAAGGAGTGCCCTCATGAATAGTTTGTAAGATATCCCAAGCCTCTTTTGCGACTTCACAATTACAAATACGACTAAACTCTTCAGGTGTGACAGCGCAAAAGAAAGAATTGATAACTTTACTATTCCAGCTACTATTTTGGTAATCAATTGTGTCCCACTTATCAATTAGTTTGGGGAAGGTTATTCCATCAACGGTAATCGTCGGTTCAGTCCACCCATACATGACAGATTGCCAAACTTTTTTATTAATAGATTTTAAAAACGATCTCATCCGAGCTTTCCAAAATGAATAATTAGATCCTTCAAGTAGGGGTGGTCGATCCATTGAATTTCCCTCACGAATTGAATCCATTATCACAAATCAAACAAGATCTCGTTCTAAAGGATTTTTTTTAAAAAAATAGAACGACTTGCTCTAATACCAAATTGAAAAATCTAGAAATTCTCTAGATATTGATTTGTGATTATGTATCAATTTAAAGCAATAAAACAATTCCAATCAAACAATCAGGACAAATCGACACAACGATTTTAATGTGGAAAAACCACAACTGGAGCACTTCCAATTGTGAAAAAAAACCACGGGCAACAGCCACAAAACAATCCACTAAGAAGATATAAAGGAATTACACAGGTATACTCTCAATTACCTAGCGAATCCACGCCCGAATTGAACCAACCCCTATGTGTCTCTTCCAACCCCGTCTTCACCTTGGAATTGTCTTGACGATGAGCCACTCCAGAATCCACCAAAGTTTCAGGCTTGAATTCTTCAGAATCCACTGAAGAACAACTCTCTCTTTTAGTTTGAACAAACAAATAATCCTTTGATGTATGCTCTTTAAACCATAAGTTAAATACTCAATCAAAACATCAAAGAAAATCAGCAAAATATCCCCAGATATAAACCTTAATATCCAAAAAGAAGATTTGAAGAAGTAATCCTAGTTTTGGATTAAAACAAATACTTATAGAAATCTGGGACTGCTAAGCTCACTCGAGCGAAGACTCTAACGCTCGAGCGAGGGACTAATCTCGCGTGTTTTTCCATAAGTGGCTTCGCTCGAGCCAAACAACCTGCGCTCGAGTGTAAAATCTTCTCTTTCAGGTTTTTATGCAGACGCAACCTTCGCTCGAGCGAGAACTCTTTCGCTCGAGCGAGCAAGGGCGGACATGCAAATTTGAATACAATTTTGCATTTTGCTTCGAGGGTGCTGCCCCGGACCCGCCAAGGGGCGCTGCCTCCTGGACCCCCGCGAGTTGACCGGTAGCTCGATCCCCGTCATAATCAGCGAAGTGGCAATCTTGAAAGAATTAACATCACAAACTTCTCTGCACGGCACAATTCGGGTTGGATTCGCATCTAACAAACTCATAGCCTCACTGAAATAAAAGTGCGAAAGCAAGTACAACTGAAAGGAGTTTTGTCAAACGGGATTGCCAATAATAAAAACCTAACAGCCTTCATGGCTCTGACCAAGGTATGTATGACATCTTTGCTCAATTTCCGTTCAAAACACTTTTTTTTCTTCTAAATTTTAGTTGACTTCTAATGGGATTCCTGGAATTTTTGTGTTTTGTAATTGATGTGTAGTTGCTGATGGTAAGTTCAAGCATAGAAGTAGAAGTCTAATTGTGATTGCAGCTGCTGCCATCTCTGCAGGATTGCTTCTTATTAGTAGCTTTGGCTATGTCTTGAGGATGAGAAGGCTGAGAAGTCAAGGTATGCAACCTCATAAATTAGAGCTATTTATTAGTACACTTGCAGTTTCTTATACATGGTTTCGCTTCACTGAATACTCTTGAGTACATAGACAATAGATGGAGATTTGCACGAGCTTGATGCTAACTCTAGTGCATCTGTTGCTGGGCCAAGTAATGGAGAATTGTTATCGTTCAGTTTAAGAAGCATATTAGTTGCTATTGACAACTTTTCTGAAGTAAAACAACTTGGAGAGGGTAGGTATGGACCTGTTTATAAGGTAACACAATGCATTTTGTTTTGTGGTAAAACAATGAAGTTGTCTTATGTTTTAGTTTCTATTATTTATTTCAATATTCTTACATTTCATACTCATTGTTTTTTTTTTCAGGGGAATTTGCCTGAAGTACAAGTAGTGGCCATTAAAAAGCAATATAAAAAATCATTACAAGGAGTAGAGGAGTTCATGAATGAGTTGAAACTTATTGCCAAACTCCAACATCAAAATCTTGTTAGGCTTTTGGGTTGCTGTGTTGAACAAGAGGAAAAGATAATGATCTATGAGTATATGTGCAATGGAAGCCTAGACAAATTGCTATTTTGTATACCTTTACCTTTTTTCTGAAACTTCTGATAAACATAATTTCTATTAGTTTTGAGGCTCTAATTTTCAATTTCCCGTCATTGATTTAGTGTTGATTTTCCATTAGGTCCTTCTAAGCAAGCCAATCTGGACTGGAGTAAACAATTCTGGATCATAGAAGGGATTGCTCAAGGTCTTATCTACCGGCACAAGTATTCTAGATTGAAAGTCATTCACAGGGATTTAAAGGCAAGCAATATTTTGTTGGATGAAGCAATGAATCCCAAAATTTCGGATCCAATTGGAGTTGGATTCAGTATTGCCTCAACTCCAGAAGAAATCCCAAGAAACCAACACACTGTTGCGAAACATCTTTTCGCGGCGATCACATCGTTTGTCGCCTTAGACTCCTCGTTCAAATCGCGTCCGATTTACTTCACCGGTGAGAGTTATGCTGGAAAGTATGTTCCGGCAATTGGGTACTACATTTTGAAAAAAAATTCCCAATTGCCAGCGTCGAAACGGGTGAATTTGGCTGGTGTTGCTATAGGCAATGGATTGACTGATCCAATCACACAAGTAGCTACTCATGCTGTGAATGCTTATTTTTCTGGGTTGATCAATGAGAAGCAGAAGACCCAATTGGAAAAACTTCAATCTGAAGCTGTTGTACTGACTAAGAATGGTAGTTGGACTAAAGCAAGCGATGCAAGAAATGGGCTTTTGGATTTGTTGCAAACCATGACAGGACTGGCCACTTTGTACGATTTTCGGAGGCTAATTCCCTACGAAACGAGCTTCGTGGCTACGTTTTTGCAACACCCGGATGTGAAGAAGTCGTTGGGCGTGAACGAATCGATGGTTTACGAAGAATGTAGTGATGTTGTTGGCACGGCATTGCATGAAGATGTGATGAAGAGTGTGAAATACATGGTGGAGTATTTGGTGAAGAATAGTAAGGTTTTACTTTACCAGGGACAATGTGATTTGAGAGATGGAGTGGTTTCAACTGAGGCTTGGGTGAAGAAGATGAAGTGGGAAGGGATTGGGAAGTTTATGGAGGCAGAGAGGAAGGTGTGGAGAGTGAATGGAGAGCTTGCTGGGTATGTGCAGAAATGGGGGAGTTTGAGTCATGCTGTGGTGTTAGGGGCTGGGCATTTGGTGCCAACTGATCAGGCAGTGAATTCACAGGCAATGATTGAAGATTGGGTTTTGGAGAGAGGAGTGTTTGCCAATGAACAGCTTGAGAAACTATCTTTGGATTTCCATGGTGTGATTTGAAATTTGGTTGATAGTTTTCATTGTTGTGTATTTGTTTGCATCTGTTGTTGTATGAACTTATTGCCCCCATTCTTTCCTTTTTTAAAGGTTAGGGGGATCCTGCGGATGAATCTAGGTGTCCTGTGTGCCTTGGCAATTCAAAGTCTTAGACCATGTCTTATAGATATGTGCAAGCCATGGAGTTGGGTATGTATTACTAATGAATAAGAATATGGAATTGTCTGTAACATTAGATCTTTTTGCCTGTTTCTCTTGATCAATCACATTGATAATGTCATGATTATTGAGTGATTTGGTAAGAAATGGTATATAAAAATAAAATAAACTAAAAAAAAAGAAGTAACGAGTAGAAAGGGTTTTCTTTTTTCTTGTTTGGTTTTGTAAGTTGGGTGAAAATTGTGAGAAATAAAACTCTGTTATTTTATGAACTTTATTTTTCACTTGATTGGTTGTATAATTTTCATAATACTTATATTACCCATTAAAATACAAAAGAATGAAATAAAATTGCACCAATATTCTCATGTCACGTGCTTTACTTTCTTATTTATCTAAATATGGTAGTGGCAAAATACAATCATTTACTTTCTATATGGCACAATCATTAAAGAAAAAAATGTTGCCACAATCATTTCTTCAATTTAACATTTGGTTAAATGTGGCACATTTCAGTTGGTTAACATGTTGTCTAATCAATATTTATATTTAAAAAAGGTTAAAACTGAAGACTCCAATTACCATCTAAACCTTTAAAAAAATTGTGATCTCTAAATTTGAAGGTTTGATTAGAAATGCTATTATATGTAAGATGTCGTGACTTGAACTCACCCCTAAATGTTTGGATCATAATCGGTCAGTAATTATAAGATTACTTAAGGTCTCAGACAGAAATCAAATCATATTTAATTATATGGGGCCAAAAGCGGAAGTAGAAATACAAAATTTGTCCAATGAACTTGTGCATAAATGGCATGAACAAAAACATTTTGTACATTAATAAATCACACCCATATTTATATAAAGAGATCTTACATGTCCAAGATCATACATATATCATAACTACACAAAATCAAAACTTATATACAGATATAGTCAAACATGACCAACAAAAAAAGTAAAAGATCAAAAAAAAAAAAAAAACAAAAGCCTCTAAGAAAAGGCACTCCAAGGTTGACATCTCAAAACCACAAGCTTCTCTTGGGTAGACTCTAAGGTTGGGCAATCGGTTGCTTACCTACATACATATATATAGAGAGTGAGCGCTCAATAAATAACATCAAAATAAAGAGGTTAATGAATGAGATTCGTATATAAATAAATCATACTTATAAATATTACATGTGAAATATTATTCACATTTAGGCCTCTTTGGCATGTCAGTGATTTAGCATAAAAGTTAAAAAGTTATTAAAAAAATCAAAAAGCCTATAACCTATGTCAAAAAGTTAAAAATTTCATTTTCTCTCTATTTTTTACATGTCTTTTCGTAAAAAACTAAAAAATCATTCTAAACATACTAGTTTTTTTTACCTCATATTTTAGCCAAAATGTCAAAAATTTACTAAAATAACATATTCCCAAATGAAGCCATAAAAGACTTAAGCATATCATAATGAACCGAAATGACCTCAGGTCCAGTCCATTACGCTTAAAACATATCAAAGGGACAAAACGACCTTGGGTCCAACATATTCATATTCAAAACGACCTTTGGTCCAATATATTCTGTAACGCCCTCAAAATATGATATAATCAATCATTCACAAGACCTATAGACATAATAGAAATGTTATATTTTCATCATCAGAGTTAATATTACAAGAGATATCACATGCATTACACTTTCATAAACGTTCATCTTGAAACTATAGCATATAACTCTAATTGTAAACAACAAAATAAGTGCCCTATGGGCTTACATCTTTCTAAGTCATCGCTTGGTTGCAACAAAAGAAGAGTCCTAGCTCTATACATATAAAGCCCTTGACTTGAATTTACATTAAACACAAAACAAAATATGCAAAATGGAGCCTTCAGCTCCTAAACCTCCCAAGCTATGTCCTTAGAGGTGACATGTCACCTGTACTTGAAAATAGTTCCCCAAGTAGGTTGAGCCAAAACCCAATAAAGATATACTATCACAGTGTATAAAATTTAACTAAGATATAGGCATTAGATAAATGTTCAATTCTTAAAACCAACTGACATCTTTTATGACCAATCAATTATGACATCAAAACCCCATTCCATTTCCATTCATCCATTTCAAGTCAATACAAAAGTATAGTCCTTTATTTCCAAAACAATTCCGAATGAGACTACAACTCATTCATTAACAAGGTAATTCATTCATTATTTAAACACTTCAAACTTCCTGCCATTTTACGGAATTCTCATCCGAGGGAACCGGCACCCATTTATATATATAAGATTTCGGGACTTTCACCCTGGACACTCCGGCCAACTTAGTTATCAATGGAGTCCATCCCCTATCTCCTCCCAAACAAAGATGCATATACAATGTATTTAAGAGCATGTCATATACAATGACTACCAAAATTCACACATTCAACAATTTAATCAAACCGTCATGTTCAATGACATAATTCATATGACTAGTTTCAATTTACCTAATCCTCATGCAGTTTCTACAACAATCATAGCTATCCTCCACTGATAGACCAAAACAGATATTTTCTAAACAGATAAACAAATCTATCAACTGATAAATTATCAACTTTTTCATAGGTGTGTGATTTAACAAATCCAACTACACCATTCATCTATATACCCTTCCAATTTCACATTTTCCATATCAATTTCATTATATAAACAAGATAAATTATTCACCCCAAACTAAGGCAAATTTCCCATTTTCACAAATGTAATTCACAAGTCTAAATTTCATCATTTTGACTCATATAATCCCATCTTCAACATCCTACATATATTTCCATGGCCCAAATAGAAAACCCTCTTTCAACTCTATACTCAAACCCTAGCTTACCCAAATCACTCCCAAATTTCATAATTTATACATAACATCAAATACCTAGGTTAAAAACCATACTAAAGTGTAGAACATCCTTACCTCAAAGTTAGGAGAGTAAAGGAGAAGATGGAGACGCTTCAAACAAGCCGAAACCAAGATCTATTCGGATCAATACGGAACCCTCAAGGTGCTCTACCTCTTTAACCAAGGCTCAAGGGTGTAGAAATCAATGGATAAAAGTGAAATTGTAGAGAGAGAATAACCTTTAGAGAGAGGGAGAGTTGATCTAGGGTTTTGGGGTGAAAAGATACAAAAATCTCTGTAAAAATGAGCTACTGCGAACTGATATATGCGAGGCTCGCTCGAGTGAAGAAGTTGTCGCTCGAGCGACCAGACACAACAAGTAACCTTGCTCAAGCGCAAGAAGCATTGCTTGAGCGCAGAATGCAAAGCTTCAGGTCTGCCATAGATGCAAACGCACGCTCGAGCGCAAGAAGTCTCGCTCAAGTGAAGAAACAATTCCACAAAGCTCGCTCGCGCACAAGAGGCCTCACTCGAGCGAAGTGCTTCACTATTCCAGGAAAGCTGCATCTGGGAAAGAAACTTGAAGACCCTCAATCATCACTCGAGCGCAAGAAACCTCGCTCGAACGAAGAAGCAAACTACTCAAGGCTCGCTCGAGCGCAAAAAGCCTCGCTCGAGCGAAGAGACCAAAATCTGGGCAATAACCATTTATACCAACTAACAACCAACCTGTTCCAAACTCATCCAACAAGTCTCAAAACTCAATTTCAAAGAATTAAAGGGAAGAAACAAGACATAGACAACAACATACAATCACGGAATCCGAGTCCGGAACACAACAAAGGTCGGAGGAAAACCGGGATCGCTATATATTCTTATTCAAAACGACATTTGATCCATTGAGACAAATATATAAAACAACATTAGGTCCAACATATTCATATTCAAAATGACCTTTGGTCCAATATATTCTTATTCAAAACGACCTTTGGTCCATTGAGTCAAATATACAAAACGACATTGGGTCTAACTCATATGCAAAATGATCTTAGGTCCATCATACTTTAATCTTTATTAAATCAAATTCAAAAGTCACATTGAAACATTTGAAATCTCATTCATATTTCAAAAATCATAAGTTCCGAAACTTACCATAAAAGCATTTAAGAAAATAACATATAACAAAATATTTTTACTAAGATATTACTCACAGTGTTCGAAGTGTTGTTACGACTCTGTAGTCCAACTATATAACACACATTGAATCATTTGACCAATTCAAATTATTCTTACTTTACTTAATTCTTTTCACTCCATATCTTGCTTATTAGGTCATTCATGAGGCCTAATTCATGTCTAAGAATGCTCAGAAAGAAATGAGAATGCATACGTGATCAGAATATATCTTTTCAAAAATATGCTGAAACAGAGCACTTCGCTCAAATGTAGCTTTAGTTGCTCGAGCGGACTACATGGTTTGCAAAAGTACTGGATGGTCCGAATCTAAGCTCGATGGTCGCTCGAATCAAGATGCAAAACAAAAAGGCGGTCGCTTGACCGGTAACTCGGTCGCTCTGTAAGGCCTCAATTTTATAACACCATTTAAGTACATCAACCAACATTCATTATAAGAAAAGAGGAAATTCTCCAACGTTTACATTTCATGATCATGAGGTTTACACAAAATAGTTCCACATGCAAGTTATACATTCAATGATTTCTAGTGCATGAATCTATAGCATGCAGAACCTCAAGTCCAAAAATAATAAATGCCCCCAAGGGCTTACAAATTCCAAGGCTTAAGCCCGGTTACACAAAAATGGTTTCTCGAACACATACAATTATAGCCCTTGGCTAGCAAAATACACCACAACAAAATAAGAGCCATATGTCTTCCTCAAATACGTCCACGCCCTAATTTGGCGGAATTGTCACATCCTTTCCTGCACCAAAATCCCATAGGGTGAGCATAAAGCCTAGTAGGAAATTCTTAACAAAGTATATACATTTCATACAAGTTTCACAAATGGAATGCACATGCCATGCTATGCTTTTTGAAGGAAAATCACACTTACATCCTTTGAAAACCATCATACTCAATGATAACTTGAAATTTCAATAGATTCAAAGACTTTAAACCAAGATCACGAGGCGGTAAATACAACTCTAGTAATTCCTAGGTTGGTGTCTGCAAGTAGGCATAACTAGCACTACCAAATCCCCACTTTACCGGTAGCTAACCGGAAGGCACGTGGTACC